TCAGTATGCCGTTTCAGTTACGTATTGCTGGGAAGAAGCAGTAGCAGGGTTAAAAGCAGCTAGTTTCTCTCTTAATGCCACTTCTTTTGATCTGAACTCCGATGTTAAGGTGACTTCTATCTCTCTTACCTGTAGTTCTTTCAGTCTAACCTCCTGCTCCAACTTGGCCCGTTCCATCATTTCCTCATGCTCCAACTTGGCCTGTTCCGACCTTCCCTCATGCTCCAACTTTTGCTCCAACTTGGTCTGTTCCAACTCTAGTTCTTTCATTTTGATTTGGAACTCGAACCTAGCTCGTTCTAGTTCTAAGGCGTCTATTCGTTGCGTTTCTTCTTGAGGGCTAGCCAGACCTGAGGCAACTTCTGAGTGAGGAGGGGTGGTGGATAGTGGTTGAAGTTTCTTGGACATGGGCGTTAATCTGTCAACAGCGGATTCTTTTAAAACTTCTTGTTGAACCAACACTTCAATCACATGATTTTTTAACATTTCCTTAGTCAGTTGCTGTGAAAATGGGATATTGTAATAGTTGGCTATTTCTTTCCATTCTTTCTTCAGGATATTAACACGTAATTTAGCTACGGAAGGATTTTCAATAAAATCCTGGAGATCAAAACCTGAGGTGGCCATTGTTAAGAAAAATAGGATAAATTAACTAATGGTCAAAAGATAAGATAAGTGGATAACCCTAGAAAATATCACGGCAGTGGATAACCAGAAAGTCCCGGAAACTAACCAAGTTATACCTAGGGAAATTACACTTATGATTATTGTTCTTCTGAGAAGATCCTTAGATAAGGATAAGAGACTTGAAAGAGGTAGGGCGTATTACGGCATAAATATAAAGATCCGGATTAACAACCCTGATATACTTGAAAGAGGTAGGGCGTATTACGGCATTAATATAAAGATCCGGATTAACAACCCTGATAAATGGTATGATTGACCCTGAATGAGATAATGAGAAGAACAATAATTGAGGCTTTATAATTATGGGGTCCTGGTAGAGCGTGGCGTCCCAAGATATCACTTCACCGTAAACTAGTGACTATGGAACAACCTACTCTGGAGTGAGGGTACGGCATTAAACAGATCCGGATTCTTCCCAACACTCGATAAGACTTACTACACAACTGCCACGTGTAATAACAGGTAAGCCTTATGACACTTGGAACCTAGTATCCTACGTCTGTCACTCTTACTATACGATAATACCAATATATGCACACACATATGAAGGGAACTTTAAACTACCGTAAAGCAATTGAGAACAGAAGTGACTGGGAGGAATAATTAACACTGAGTAACAAGGGAGGAAGGAATATGGTACTTAAGGTCGTGTCCTGTCACGGTCGCCATTTGTTACGAGTTGGGGATTTAGAATATAGTTATACGTCTACCCAGATCCCAACAGGTAACAACAATAAAAAAAAACAAAGACAATCGGACTATAAAAGGGTAGACAAAGGATGCGAGTTTTCGTTGTATATAATAGAGTACCATAAATCCCTTAACAAAATATTCAGCTTATAAATTACCCTTAACCAAACTTAACCTAAACATTAACAGTATATACATATTAATAAACATAAAACAATCTTGAAGCAAGTGGACGTGGGGGAGTTAATACAACATATAAGTACTTAAGTGAGGAGCTGAGATGGCTGACGAGTAAGGCTGAGTATTGTAGAAGACGGTAGGTAGTCACTGCACGTAGGTTTAGAGGATAGATGATCCTGTGGTCACTTCCCAGAGCCAAGTGCCCTCTCCTCGAATTGGAGCTGACAAAGAAGACTGAGGAGGTGACGCAACCCAGGATATGGAGAAGGGAAACCTCGGAGTGGTAACTAAGACGAGTCATACTCGTGTCTCGTCCCTAGATGGCGTTGCTCGTGGTGCTGGGTAGGTAGATCAGGACAATAGATGGCGTGGTTCGTAGTGCTGGGTGGAGGGGTTCGTAACAATATATATATATATATATATATATATATATATATATATATATATATATATATATATATATATATATATATATATGTAACCTGTCGGAATTTACTGGACTTTATTTTCTCACTTGACTTGGGGTTTATTAAAGATTATTAGATGGTAATGGCATTGGAAGCGCCCTTTGAAATCGAACCAACACAAGAACACTTAATCTACTAAACAAAATGACTTGTCCGTGACCGTGGAAGAGCGTCTGTGACTGGGATGAATAGAGACACCATAAAATTTAGACACTTATATTCCCTCAACACTACAAACACAATCAAATAATGGTACACCAACCCACCTCTTAACTTGAACTTAAAAACACTACTCTGGAGAATAAAAAGTTATACATGATATAGAAATTATTAGAAACTCAGGCAACAATAAATTTGGTATTAGAAATGTTTGCTTGCACATGAAACAATTAAGGGCTTTTCACAGAATAATATCCACCACTGAGGAAGTGGTATAAAAATAAATTATTAATTCCACCATGAATAACCTAACACACAGATTCCACCTGCACTCCGTAGTCGTTTAAGGCACAACCAACAGGCACCTGTAGTTGAAGGCCCAAATCAGCCTTTCTCCACCTTGGAAAGTGTACCTCTAAACTCCACTGACTCTTGGCCCCAGTGTGCGACCCTGTATCACTCAGCTAGCTTCACTTTACCCCCGGTACATCCATAAAGCGGAAGGGAGTGAGCCAATCAGACCTTGTACAGTTGAGAGAAGCTTTAGCTTCCCATTAGCAAGAGGGTTTCACTAAGCTGCTTGAAACATGTGGTATTGTGAGCCGAGGTAGAGGAGAGCTGATGACCCCAACGATCGTCCCGTCGTCAGCTGGGCACCCAGACGGCTAGATTCCCTCAAGAGATCCTTTGATACCCAGCTAAACAGTGACAGGCCTACACTGATCGGTCCAATGGCGACAATCGCCACCCTCAATCATCAACGGCAGTCTCAAACGGCAGTCACTCTCTCGCAGTCAATTTCTCGCAGTCAATTGGGTTCTGAGGGAAACCCTGAAATGAACTCACTGTTAGCTCGTGTTAACTTTACCACTGCCCTATCTAACCCTGTCTGAGATCGAATGAGACTTACTTGTTATACTGCAATAGTGCAACACAGGTGACTAGGCCACGTGACTATTTCTGTGGACAGACGCGCAGGGATGTCCTGTAGGTCCAATCGCTTTCACGTGACTGAGGACCAGCCAGCGTCGCGTCTCTCCAAGGCGCTAGCTTAGGTCTACGTGACATATTTTCCACCTAACTAATAACTCCTTGGGACACCCGTAACATTATTCAGACTGATAAACGATCTATAATAATTTCAAATTCAATAATAGTCCCTTAACTTCATGAATCGCATCATTATTAATTCGGCAAATTACATTTAATATCACTTAGGCCTAGTTCCACAACCTCTCGCTATGTGCAGGGAGCGCTCTCTTCCCTCCGACGACCTTGAAAGCTCAGTATTGCCAATTGCGCGGTGTTTGAAATTACTCTGAAATTTCTGAATATTACATATATATATGTACAAGTATATCTGTTGTGGACTTCTACCCTTTCCTCATATTATCAAATTGATCTTTCTCTTCCTCTTATACTGCAGATTCACAGACGTTCAGATCCGCCTGATGAAGGACACGCTGAAGCATCCTAAGGGATTCATGCTGGGTGCTCCTGAGATCCTTCAGTTAAACTCCAACATCATGCAGACTATTAGAGCGAAAAAGGTCAGGCAACGCACACAGGAGCATAAATTAGACTAATTAGACTGTTGTTAAAACTGGAGAGGTCGGTCTACATTTAAGAGCTGGACATATCAAACTACAGTTAAGGACTGAAAAGGTCAAGTCAGAGTCAGTTTACGATCAACTTCAAGAGAGTTACAAGCTAAAATACTTCCAGTTAAATAAGTGACGATATCAAGCCGGATTTAGAGGCCAAAAACATATAAAAAAAATTTGGGTTAAGTTTGCAAAACCCAAATGGTCTTTTCTCCTTTTATTTAGAAAAATGGTCCGTGCGCACTTAACAAGGGATACCACCGTAATTAATACTGTAAGCTGTGAGTGTTAGGAAATACACGGTAAGGTTATCTGGGATAGTTTTTAACTCCACGTCTATGCTTTGTGAGGGTTGAGTGATAAGTGGCCAGGAGCGGCTTATCTAACTACTTAGTAGAGCATTTTAGAGATGCTACTTGTGGGTGGAAAAATACTGATCTCATGTTTAATAGGTGATCACTCACTGCTCATGGAAAATTAAGCTGATGGTAGAATTATAATGAAACTAATGTATTAACCCATATTTATATAAGTACTACTGTCTATTAGACAGGGGCTAATACAATATTATTACGGTACCTACTGGTTTCAAGGTTTACTTGCTATGTTTTGGGATCTGTCATGATAACTTAAAACATACTCAAATGTAAATATTTTTATACTTACTAATTATGACATTATACTTAATATATAAATCGGTGGCAAAAATTTAGTTTTATTAAAATTCTTAAACATTTTGTAAGTAAAACAACATGAATAAAATAATTACGTATCAGTACTGTAAATTCTTTAGCTTGTTACATTTACCTATTTTGAGATTCAATTATACAAGATAGATTTTTATTGACAGAATGTTGTTGGATAACCCTTATCACAGGCGACCTGGGATCGATCGCCTGGCAGTGTGAAACTATGGACAAGTTTCTTTACCTCATTTGCCTCTGTCTACTCAGCAGTAATTTGGGATCTGTATGTTAATCACTTTGCGGATCGTGTTCCCGGGTAATGGTTAGCCAGTGCAGTTGGCGAGTTGTCCACTCTTCTTGGAATTATCCTTGACACTGGGTCATGCAACTCGTTAACTCAGGGTGTGGTTGTTGTGTTGGCGACAGTTTCTACACTTTAAACAAATTCACGCCAAGGTTGCCCTAGGGTCGACCATCCTCAATCTCAAGGGGCATCCCTTTATATCACGTTGATTCAACAATTGGAAATATATAATAAATATTGCGTTTATCTTAAATAATAATAATAATAATAATAAACGGTTTATTAATAGAGTTGCAGCCGGTGGCTGAAAATCTTGATGCAGTGTGTAAGCGTGTTACTATACATTTTTCAAGATACAAAAATATTTATTTACTTCTAAATTCTGTGCTCGTGATTATTATGAAACATACTGATCACTTATAACTTAGGTATGAGCAGGTCTTGGAAATTTAAGTGTATTTATATCCTATCAAGGGCTAGATCATATCACTTTGTAAAGATTACTGTAACTAGGCGGCTCTATGAGTGGCGCACCAAAGAAATTATAACAAATCAACGAAGATGCCAAAGAATTCATAAAGATTACTAAAAAAAAAATCATATAATTTTTTTACTCTGATTTATGTAGGTATAAACGGTGAATCTTATATACGTATATCCATTGTATCTTGAGAAAGAAAGTACTGTACATCCATGGAAGTGATCATATGAGAGTTTCTGTAACCGAACATTATATTTGTATGTGCAAATGTTTTGTGATTATGTTGCAGGTGCTTGATATCGGGGTGTTTACGGGAGCCAGTGCATTAGCGGCTGCCCTCGCCCTCCCTCCTGATCATGGCGGCCAGGTGCATGGTCTCGACAACAATGAGGAGTACACTAACATGGGTAAGAGTATACCAACATGGTTAAGAGTATACCAACATGGGTAAGAGTACACCAACATGGGTCAGAGTACATCAACATGGGCAAGAGTTAGGCTGTACAGATTATGTGGAAAATTTACTTGCCCTGACAATTTATTTTTAGGAAATTCGCTTACTTGGATTGATTTAAGGGAAAAGTTAAATAAACTCTTAAAACAGTCAATTATATTGTGTGTAACAACTCACAGATCATTTGAGTCCTTTGAAATGGTGCCACTGTCGGTAACGCTTAACATGTGAAGTCATAACCCTGTCAACTCACCCACCACCCTATAATCTGATGCCAGAGGAGGTAACATTTGTCATGTTAGGTCATAACGGCTATGACATACCGTCTATAGCCTCTCAGCGTCGTGGTTCCTTTAAAATGTTGACAACTTGACACCAACTGTTTAATGTAGAGGTAAGTTACTTGTACCTAACATAGGTCACTAATTCTGGTACGCTGATGATAAATGGTCCATTGAAAGACCTGCCTGGTTAAACATGTGCAGTGAAGTGGAGTCTCGGAGTTTCTGAAATATTTTGTCTTGGCATTTTCCTCTCAAAATATTAGCTTCCGGGTAAGTGTCGGACATATTGACATGAAAAATTACTTGCCCGGTCCCTATTCCGGGCACTTAGTTTTTTAGTTTAACAAATTTATTGACAAAGCTTGTAGTAGTAGTACAGTTTGCCTATTCTGAGTAATTCAGTCAGGTCTTGACACTGAGGGTGGTATCACTTCTCACTGCCACGCAGGACAGAGGTTCATACACAAAGAAATACATCATATTCGTTAACAGCTATAAATGTATAGAGGTCAGATACGGGTAATGTCACTGTTCACTGCCATGCAGGACAGAGGTTCGTACACAAAGAGATGCATCATATTCATTGACAGTACATATACATATATGTACACACACACACATACACATATACATACATATACATATATACATACACATATACATGTACATATATATACACATATGCACACATACACACATACATACATACATATACGTCGGTCAGATTCATGTGGGTGATGTCACTCTTCACTGCCATACAGGACAGAGGTTCGTACACAAAGAAGGCACGACCGGGATGTTTACCTATAATACAAGATAATAATGATTTGATAAAATTGTATTAATTTACCTGTTTTGGCCTAATTCCTGCGATGCTTGTATTGTATTAATCGTTTTGATTTTTGTTAATTTGCATATGTTTGTTACACGTTTTTGCATATTTATAAAATAGCATCATTAAAGCAAAGGAAGTTTGAAATAATATAATTCGGTCCACAGATTAAAATAATCTCCCATAAAGTACTAGGATTTACATAAAAATACAGCGTATTAGATGTTCCCCCAAAATATGTACCTTATTTATATACAAAAATCTGCAATCAGCGTTGGGTTGATATTTAAATGATTCATGAACACATAAACCTAGAATATAATTTATAATTGCGTTAAAAGTGAAAGCTGATTAATATTGCCTATATTTGTTTTACTGTACTTTATGCATATATATTACACTAATTTTAGAGTGGTTAACTATCCTTCAGAGTACAGCTTGCCTTAACCTGATCGGAAAGCTGTACAAGATTTTTTCGAAACTTTGCTTCCTTTTGCAGTCCGACTTCCAAATTGGAATTGTCTCAAATACATTGGAGTTTACCACAGCACAAACTTACTGTACTTGAGAAGAAAGGTAAATCAGATAGCTTCTAAAATCTTGTCTTCCTGTCACAGCCAAGAAGTACTGGAGTGAGGCTGGGGTGTCCGACAAGATTCACTTGCACATCGGAGACGCAACCGACACTCTCCAGAAGTTCATCGATGAAGGTCAGGCTGGCTCCTACGACTTTGCCTTCGTTGACGCTGACAAAAACGACTACAACCGCTACTTTGAGCAATGCCTGGTGTTGGTGCGGTCTGGAGGCATCATCTCATTCGACAACACACTCTGGAGGGGCAGTGTTCTTGACCCTCAGAACCAGAGTGACTTCACAGTAGCTGTTCGGGAATTCAACCTGAAGGTGAAGGATGACAAACGTGTCAATATATCCTTCCTTAAGATTGGTGATGGCTTGACAATTTGTTTTAAAAAATAGGATTATGCAGTTATGAAGTCCCTTGTATTTGTAATACTAATTACAGGAAACATTCCCCTTTAAAGCTTATATAAACGATTGTTACCTTCATGAAAAAAAGCTTTTGTGTGTATAATTATGCCTTATTAATAATGAGTGATAAGCTGAAATCATGCATTAATAATATACATCATAACATAGAGGTCGCGTTATAAGTCATGCCCGATGTAAATTTTTAGGAATTGATGTTTTGTTTGTTTTAGATAACTACTAGAGATGGCTGACCCCTAGAGATGGCTGACCCCATGAGGAATGAACCGCATGAAAAAAAATGGAACCAGTGCTCCTGCACATTGCTGGAATGAATTGAAAAGAGGTTTGTTAAGAATTCCAACATCTGCACCCAGAGAAGCCAAAGCCGAATTGCCGTATGGTTCAACTTTTGCTACGGTTTATTCCTCATGGGGTCAACCATTTCTACTTACATACCGTTTTGAGAGTTAATATCTCGCAAATTACAGTTTGGTTTACAAAATATTGAGAAACAGATGATTTGATTTGTATTGTCAATATGATTATTATGCTAATTAAGATATTCCTAGCAAGGATTAGGAATGAAAATTGGCGAAATATTTTGTCATCAACTCCCAAATTTCCATGTAAGCGACCATGGGGAGTTATTACAGTGCCATAATTTTTAAAGAAAATTATATCATGCTGTAGAGAAAATATATACTATGTATTCCCTCCAAAAAGCCCTGCCTTGTCGCCCTGAGGGTGCCTTAGGATTAAGCCAATCACAGTAACTAGTAAGGGTGACGTCATAGGCATATCTGGGCTGATTGGCTAGAGACTAGAGTTTCGTACTTAGTAACATATGCGCTCGATTTTCAAACACAGAGTCTGTGTTTGGAAGTGTTTAAGTGTAGAGGTGTATGGGGGGTCGACAGATTCAACATGGCAAAATATATATAAGTAAGTGCACTTAAGGCTTTATCTGTTTCACGAAATGTATTGCGATTCATGAGACCCCGTTTAACTAGCTAGGAGAATAGGTTATTATTTTGAAAGTGTGACTGTCCATTCTGAATAACGTCGTTAATGAATGAAGAAACGTTAAGGATAGTTCTCAATTCCCTTCCCTCTGTGTATGGAGTAGAGTATTCCTCATCGGTGTCTTTGTAGTATACAGTGATAAAGTGCCCCCATGAGTAACAACATGACTATCATATGTTTCCCCTAGTATATACGAGTATGTTAGTGCATTATTTACTTACTCCCTCCTTACCTTTCCTCTCTCTCACTCCAGTTCATCTATGGGCACCGTAGGAAGAGGTCACACCCGCTCGTCGTCCTCTGACTTCAGCGCTGTGTGAATGCCTTTCTCTTTTGTCGGATCACCAGTATGGTGATCTGCTCTCCTATTGCGCCCATCTTTGGTCATCCTCTCTAAGGGATTATGGGGAAACTTTCGTCGTGGCCCTCGACATCTCCAAAGTATTTGACAGGGTATGGCACAAGTCTTTGCTATCTAAACTTCCCTCTATTGGTTTCTCTCCCCCACTTTGTTTTCTCATCTCTAGCTTCCTTGAGAACCGATCCATGGCAGTTGTTGTCGAGGGATCGATCTCTCGCTCTTTCTCTACCAGTAGTGGTGTCCCACAGGGCTCTGTTCTTTCACCTACTCTCTTCCTTCTTTTTATCAATGATTTGCTTCACACTACAACTAATTCTATTCATTCTTACGCTGATGATTCTACTCTTCACTCTTCTTCACATTTTCCCCTTCCTCCTAACTCTCAAACTAGATCTGTTTTTAGAACTGATATCGTTACTTCTATCAATGCGGATCTGTTCAGCATCTCTGAATGGGGAGTTAAAAACTTGGTTAAGTTCAATAGTAATAAAACTCAATATTTACCAATTACACTTTGTAAATTAGATGATCTCCCACCAATTACATTTCAGGACGCTATCATCCTGCCAAATTCTGAAATAAAATGTTAGGCCTCACCATTTCCTCCAATATGTCTTGGAAATCACACATCCTTAGTATAGCTAAAGCTGCCTCCCGAAAGTTGGGAATGCTGTGCAGATGCCGTAGCTACTTCACTCCTGAGAAGTTGTTCCAAGTATATAAGGGATTCATTCGTCCTAATTTGGAGTACTGCTGTCATAACTGGGGTGGCTCTTCTTCTGTCCAACTATTAGATAGGGTGGAATCAATGGCATTTCGTCTTATTAACTCTCCTCCTTTAGTCGACAATCTCTCTTCCCTTTCTCTTCGCCGCAATGTTGCTTCGCTCTCTCTCTTTTACAGGTACCTTAACGGGCAATGTTCGATGGATTTGGCATCCTGTGTACCGCCGGCAAGGCCGTGGGCTCGTAACACACGTCTTGCCCGCGGTGCCCACCGTTTTTCTGTGGATGTCGGTCACACGAGAATAACCCGATATAGTACCTCCTTCTTTCCTCACAGCTGAACTGTGGAATACTCTGCCTTCTTCTGTGTTTCCATACTTATACAATCCGTCTCACTTTAAAAAGCTGGTTTTCCGGCATCTTCGTGGTGTAGATTAACACAAAATAACCTTTTTGTTCGCTATTTTCAATTTTTTTCTGTTCTTTTCTTCCCGCCCCATAGGCCCCGTTGTGGGTCGTTTGACCTGTGCCCGGGTGGGCTAATTCCCGTAAAAAAAGAAAAAAAAAGAAAGTTAACTCGGTACCTCGGCCCTATAAACGTGGATTGTATAATTATATACCACAACCATACTGTATAGAGGTAAATACAGTGTGACGTGATACAGCGAGATTTTTTTTTTGATTGCCCAGTAGGGGGCTAGTTTATTGGGCACCCCCTTACATCCTGTGCAAGGTGAAGCACAGAAGCGTTTACAGTGCCCAACTGGGAAGCATGCTAAGTTCATGCTTGCCTTTATGACTCATGCATTAAGGGCGTAGAAGCCTGAAAGGTCATAGGTTTTGTCAGCAAGTTACATAAAGTGACAGAATGATGAGTGTGTGGGGGGAAAGTTCCCGGTACATTTCATCTGTTTATAGCAAAGCGTGGCAGGTCCCTAATAATGTCAAGTGCCAGTGTCATGATCGTGATGACGGCTAACCTGAAAACCTTAAGGATTCATATTACGTTCAAACGTCCACAAAACCTTCCGAGTCCCCCAGTGGAAACGTCCCCTGTTTTCTCTGTTTCCTTGATGACGTCATCGATAGGCCGTCTTTGTCTAAAGGGAACTTTGAATATAATCTGCGGATTTCGTAGCAAGACGCTGTATGTTGGGACCTGTTGCCATCCAACCCTATGTAATCAATTTAATTTTGCTTTTGATAACTCAGTCAGAGCATTGTTAGTGAGGATAATAGTAGGGAATGAAACTGAGTTCATAGTCTCAGTTTCAACGTCAGAGTGTACAGTAAATTAATTCATCGAAATAGAAGTAGGTGGACTCCCTGACCTATTCTGAGTGAGGGTGCCGTGGGCATTTCAACGGTTAGTAAGTGCTCGCCCCTTCACCTATACAGGTAGGCCATTCCACTCTGTGTTGTAATTCGCCCTTCTTAAAGTGATTTGACCCAATTAATAGTTGATTGTGCAAGTGTTACAGTAACGTAGTTGATATGCTCTGAGTGAAGTCATATTTACGTCTTTAACGTCCCCTGGATGTCGTTGTCACTGTTAGTAAGTGCTCGCCCCTTCACCCATACAGGTCCCTCACGCAGCCTAGGCCGTGTCTGTAGAGTGGATGTTGTATCCACTATGTCTGGGGAGATGTCCGAGGTCCAGTAGGATCAGTTACCTTCGTGAGACCCGACTGTCAGACACTTAAGACTACCTATGGCCGCTGTAGCTGGCTCGTCTGGCCCTAACGCAAGGCCTGCGAGGTGACCCCGGATCACCAAGCCACACACCACTACCAGACCCCATCATTGATGGATGAGTGTCTAACTCAGTAGGGCCATTTGTGTGGTGGGGTTAATCCACTGGGATCTTCAGAGTTCGTCGGAAAGTACCCCATGGTGGCAGGAGCCCATGGCGGTTGCTTGAGTATCACTCCTGACGACTGAGTGTTGTAGTGGCAGTTGCCCCTGGTCTTTATGGTGCTAAGTGACTATAAGAGTTATGTGTTATTGAGTATGTCCACCCAGTAGGGTTGGGAGTGTTATTGAATATGTCCACCCAGTAGTGGTGTGAGTATGTTGAGCCTGAGGGCATAGTGCCAGATTTCGTCTGTTGGTACATATATATTCTTTCTCCTACCTCCATATTAATGTTTAAATAAATGTTGTATTTGTATATTGTGTCTATTATTTACCTACAGTATTTACCGTTATTTCTTCCCTATTACTTGATACTATCATTACATATACTCACGAGCCTCCTCTCGTCACGCTACCAATGGTAATAAGTATGAGAGTAAAAGGAATTGTTACTGACACACAGGTCCTTATAAATGGTGACAGCCCAGGCCCTTATAAAATGGTGGCAGCCCAGGCCCTCATACCAGGCCTGTGACTAGGAGGAGGGTTATCTGGTCAGGGAGGGAAGAGGTGCTGGTAACGGCTGGGGACCTGTGGGAGGAGGTCTTAGGACAAGTGAGGGTGTGGGAGTCGGGTTGGCCACAAAGTTTTCAAACAGTGCGGCCAGGCTCAGGGTTGCCAATGCACTCCCATAGGTACCTGTACCCAAGGCGCAGTCTCATGTACATAAACTGTTGAGAACAAGTGAAGGTGGCACCCAGTCCCCACCATTAAGGTTGAGGTCAGAGGTCAGACACTGAGGTGCCAGGCCAGCGTTCTGCCTGTTGCCGCCTGCCTTCCTACCTCCCTCTTATGTATGGGACTATAGAGGTCAACTTACCTCGCATCATAAGAGGGTTGCGCCTCCCAGCCACCGCTCACCACCTGTGTGCCACACACCACACACTAAGGATGACCAAACTAACTTATACATTATTTCGCGCATTGTGTAATAGGCTGTTATACTTAGTGACTTCACATCAGTGTCAGTGAACTATGACCATGTGTAAAGTGGTATTTGTGGGTGTACTGTAGTAATCAATCTAACAGCTTCTGGCATCCAGAGTGCCCTGATGCCCTTGAAGCCTACTCCCGGGCCCGGCCATGTGGCTCCCAGCCTCACCCTCCCTCCCTCCTCTCGCTCCGGTGATGGTGGCGCTTATCACACGTGTTAATGGCTTCATGTGGTGTCTCACGTGACTACGGTGATTATACTGGGCTGGTAGGAACAGGAATCTAACAACTGAGTTGGTGAATATTGGGTGTAATTCCTATCAGTGTTACTCAAGGACACAGCTGACCTACATATCACCTCTCTCTTCCCCAGTGTATTTTTTTTTACGGGCATTAGCCCACCGGGGCACAGGTAATTACCCACATCAGGGCCTGGGGGGCTAAAATATAATAATATATAATAATTATAATAATAATAATAATAATAATAATAATAATAATAATAATAATAATAGCTATTATTATTATTATTATTATTATTATTATTATTATTATTATTACAACAATTAATAAAAATAATAGCAAATTAATACAAATAAAATAATGAAAAATAATCAAAATAATAACCATAAATAAATACAAAATTGAAAAAATAAATCAAGATTGAGAAATTATATACATTATATATGTTGTGTTGTCCAAGTAAGAGAAGCAATTGAGACCCTGCAATCATGTGTAAATGAGGCAGAAAGTCAGATCAGCAACCTGGGACTTGGTCACAATTTTCGTGATGCCATACGGCAGCAGGGTCTACCATTAGACAACACATTATGCTTCCAATATCTTCCCAGGCAGTAGTACCTCCCTGTTTGGTAGCTGCCTACTACCTACTACCTGGCTTCCATTTAACTCTAACCATGGCAGGAGTCGATGCCGGGCGGCGCTCTGCTGATGTTCCTGACAAAGGAAACGAAGGAGATGAGGAGTACAGTCATGGCGACACTGAAGCTGGCTTTCAGAAGTTTAAGACTCGTCAGCAGAAACGCAAAATGAGGACCCAGGGAAGGAAGCAGAGTAGAGCCAATAGGTACATCCCTTCCATTGCTCCCCGGACTAGCTACATGAGCCTTGCCTTCCTCGAGAACACAACCAATTTGATGAAGATTGAGTGGTTGAGCGCCCTGAATGAGGAATATTGCACGACTACGCTGAATGTTGTCATGCCAGGTAGCGTCCCTCGTTTCGTTTGTGTAGGCCGAGAGGAAACGGATGCTATCCAACGCTTCATTGATGGAAAGGTCAGCTCACTGCATCTCATTAAGCAAGATGAACCTGTCCGACCCAAAAAAACGAAGGAATACATTGTCACCCATTTCCCCAAGGGTATTCCCCCCAGTGGCGCTCTGTCACTTCCGGGCGTCTATGGAGCAAGAAGACTTTATAAGGATGGTGCACAACTGAGTACGATCA